TATATATCGTCTTTCTAAATCATTCCCAAACATAAGATTGTTGTTTAGGCCATACATACCATGTAATATTAGAATAAGCACCTCTTAGTTTCAAAATACTTACAGTATAAATGATTTGTAATTGTACAGATTGTTATCCCTTTATTCCCCAAACTTTGCATATTATTCCCTTATACCTACATGGAGGTACTGAATAGGTACACTATAATTACAAAAAAGTTACACTGTTAACTTCAGTTTACTTACGCAGTTCTTTTCAGGTTGCATATCTGGTTGTTACCCCCTTATTACCCAAAACTAACACATTGTTCCCTTATACCTACACGTACGTTCTTTATAGGTACATTATAATTACAGAAACGTACACCGTAAATTCAGTATACTTACATAGATCTTTGCGGGTTGTAATCTAAAGCATTACCAAAAATGGTAATAAGAATTATTTCAAACTAATGCAAAAACTATAAAGAAAATGAGCAAACTGATGAGTCGTGTGAATGTTTGAAGGCATCTCTTACCCCACATGAAGAGAATCAAGCCGAGCGCCTCCATCCCGCTGCTGCTCTCCTTTAATAATAGAATGTGTACCCCATGGTTAAAAAATACCTATACGCCTATAATAAAACACCAATATAAAATTATAAAAAGTATATATATCGTCTTTCTAAATCATTCCCAAACATAAGATTGTTGTTTAGGCCATACATACCATGTAATATTAGAATAAGCACCTCTTAGTTTCAAAATACTTACAGTATAAATGATTTGTAATTGTACAGATTGTTATCCCTTTATTCCCCAAACTTTGCATATTATTCCCTTATACCTACATGGAGGTACTGAATAGGTACACTATAATTACAAAAAAGTTACACTGTTAACTTCAGTTTACTTACGCAGTTCTTTTCAGGTTGCATATCTGGTTGTTACCCCCTTATTACCCAAAACTAACACATTGTTCCCTTATACCTACACGTACGTTCTTTATAGGTACATTATAATTACAGAAACGTACACCGTAAATTCAGTATACTTACATAGATCTTTGCGGGTTGTAATCTAAAGCATTACCAAAAATGGTAATAAGAATTATTTCAAACTAATGCAAAAACTATAAAGAAAATGAGCAAACTGATGAGTCGTGTGAATGTTTGAAGGCATCTCTTACCCCACATGAAGAGAATCAAGCCGAGCGCCTCCATCCCGCTGCTGCTCGTCTGTGTGACAAACATCTTCCTGTTCATTTCTTCATGACAAACTCATTTCCTCCTTAACACAGCGTTTCTCGCCCTCGCAGGGCGTGTTTGTGTGAGTGTGTGTTTCTCACAGATCTGACAGCAGCAGTGTGTCCATGCATTCAATCATGATGTTTGCAATAATACTCATGACTTAGAAACACACATCTGACCTAAACATCAGTGTACTTTACAGGAAGGGTGTATTTAACACACACACACACACACACACACACACACACACACACACACACACACACTGCATCAGAAAAAGGGAACAGAAGCATTGTGGTAAAAATGCTTTCAATGAAAAGGCTGAGTGATAGTGTTTACCCCCAGAAACAGAGCTGTGCTTTTTGTCTTATTTTCTATGTGATGCTGCTGCCTAATTATTAATAATAAAAACTTGTGCATCACGTACAGTAAATGTTCTGCAGATGCTTTGTGTACTTTTGCATAAAAGTGAGGAAATACAGAAGCAATGTAACATAAAGAAGTCAAAATATCAAAGATGAGGTTACATTAAACATTTTTATTGAAAAATTTGTGAAGAAGACACACAAACATTTTTCTTTCTTTTGGCTGTCACTTTTTGCGTCTAATAACATTTTCATCGTTCTTATGAATAATGAGTATTATATAAACAATTATTAATTATAGAAATCGAATAAACTACTTATAGGAAATATGAAACAGAAAATAACCAAATAAATAAAAAGCGATACTTCGCTGCAGGAACAATATTTAAGGAACCGTTCACCACGGAAAAATCTAAGTTCTGTCATCATTCACTCACCCGTTTGAGTTTATTTCTCACACAAAAGCAGATGGATGGGTGATGAGAAATGTTCGCTCTGACCGTCAAGCTCCTAAAGCTCATATAAGCACCATGATAGTATCATAACAGTCATGTCCTGTATTTTTAAACATTATTTTTGGAAAAAAATACTATAACATTAGAACTGAACAATTGCTTGGTCATCTATGCATCATTACATTAGTCACCTTGATGGAAATATATGACAGATTATACAATAGTCAATAAACATGTCATGAAGGCATTAACACAGCCCATTTTTCCCAGTATTGCAAATATTTGTCTATCTGTAAATTTAATTAAAAAGTCATTCTCTCCATGTTTTGGACACTGGTCACAATGACCAATCATGCAGTCTTTTGTGTTATAGCGTTCTTGCAAGCTGCTAATAATATCTTTAAAAGGTACTTATCTTTCACCATCAAATGAGCTTCTAATTGTTGAGAAAGAGCAGTCAATTCCATCACCAGATAAATTACGTCTTACTTCTGTTACATGATCTGCCAGCTGTTCCCCACATTTCCTCCAGCAAAGACCCCTTCCCATTTCACCAGTGCGGGCAGACTTTAACTTGGGGGATACAACATATCTGATAAGACTCCGCCAGCAGAATTCTCTGTAAAATTCTCTCTCCCTTTGATGAAACTGAACTAAAAGAAGCCACACCTATACCAGAATCCTTGCTAGTTTAAAGTCGGGATCAAAGGCAACCCATCTCAATAATCTAGCCTGTCTTTCATGTACTGGCGATTTACATTCTTTAAACCAGATTCTAAAAGGAACCTTAGTCCATTGATTATTAAACTATTAATATATTGTTCGTATAAGGTTTTGCGAGCCAACACAGCAAAATCTCCAAATCCTTCCACCTTGCTATATATTCTGGGTTACAGCAGGTCTTACTCAAGGTCTTAACTAGGCCAAAACCAAATCTTCTTGATGTCAAATACAGGTACTCCCAGTGAACTGAGTCAAATGCCCTTTCGGCATCTAAACTGATTACTACTGCGCTGACATTTTCTTTAGTGATATAATCACTTAAATGCAGCACCCACCTAATATTATCTTGTGTCTGTCTATCACATACAAAGCCTGTCTGATCTAAATCCACTAATTCTGGTATTATATCTTCCAGTCTTTTGCTAAATGCACTACACTCCCTTTGCCCTCTTTAGGAATACCCGATACTATAACCTCGCTCCATAGTCATGTCCTATATTACAAGATATATGAAGTTGTATTTTGTTATGTGTAAAGAACAGACTAAATGTATTCACTGAATTATTAATCATTCACTGAAAATCCCCTCCTGCACCATTCAAATGTGCCGCATTGATGCAACGAGAGTTTGCAACACTTTTTGCACACTTTGCTTGTTTGCATGTGCATCATCAGCATGGCAGATCTGAACATGAGGAATGATATGTGAGAACTAGTGCAGTCTCAGGCTTAAAGATCACCTGTGTAGTGTGTGAAAATATATGCATGTGTCCTCGCACTGAACCCGGGGCATGCCACACCCCCAGATCCATGCCAGCTCAGTCCTGGAACCTTTGCAGCATCTCACAAGTCTTCTTGCCCAGAACCTCGTGGATCTTCTTGAGGCGTCGGTCAGATATGGGTCTGACGTAACTGTTGGGCAGGATCACGGCCGTGCCGTCCTGCACCTCGCCCATCACCAGCAGGGGGAGCTCATGGTGCTGCGTGATGTTGGGACACGGGCAGCTCCAGTCCATGCGCGCCAGCAGCACCTCCAGGTGTTGTGTTTCAAAGAGCTGCAGGCCCATCTTCTCATCACGCAGCACCTGCTCCAGGTGGAACCGTGCGATTCCCGAGTCCAACTCCTCGATTAGCTCTGTGAGCCGTCCCACGATGGCAAAGTCGCTGCGGCAAAGACTCGCCACGATCTTTCCTTTCGGCCGGCAGTTTTTACACGGATGCCGCTTGGGCTGCGGGCAGGTGGCTTCACATTCTTTACGCGTGCGGAAGTTGTTCTTGTTGCCGTGGCAGCCGCCGTAGATGAAGGCCAGGCACTGTTTCATGAGGCTGTTGTAGGTCCAGCATGGCTCCCAGAGCTTACAGGGGCCCTGCACAGCCGGCAGCGAGCACACACCCAGCCCCTCGCGCTGACACGACACCCGGCACTCCTCATACGTCTCGAAGCGGTTGCGGCCGCCCTCGCAGCCTCCGTGCGCAAACACATGGCACTCGCCCCGGGCCGAGTCGTAGTACCAGTCCACCCGCTGCTCGCCGCACTCACCCCGCTCCACGGGGGCCCAGCAGTCGGCCGGAGAGAACGGCTGTCCCAGCGGCAAACCTGCCTCAGGGTCGTCGAAGAAGTCCTCGCTGTCGCGCCTCACGACGGAAAGCGGGTAATCAGCCCGCAGCGCTCCTGCGGTGTTTCGCATGATGCAGGTGTAGATTCCTGTGTCCCACACCTGGGCGTTATACACCACCAGTTGACCGATGTTGGTTATGACGACGTTCCCGTACATCTGGTCCGGGCGCATGAGGATTCGCTCTCCTCCCTCGGACAGCTTCTCCCAGATGATGTCCGGCTTCGGGTGTCCGATCACGTCGCAGTGGAAGCTGGCCGTTCCGCCCAGGTAAATCACCTGCTGCTGGGGGTTGGAGTAGAGCGTCGGCGGGAAGGGCTCGGAGTCGTCGGCGGCTGCAGACGTGGGTTGAGCCGTGGTGTCCTGCGGCAGAGGGCTGGCGTTTGGGCCAGACAGGTGATAACGACAGGTGACCACGGTGAGCGTGACACCCTGAACGCAGGCCTCTGCATCCATGTAGCAGCGGTTGAAGTACGTGAGGCCGTCGGAGGCGCAGGTGAAGCTGGGCTCGCTCTCGCAGCGGTCCTGACATTTACACACCGGCTGCCCCTCCCACACGTCACACACCGCCCCCTGCTGGCTGCACACAAACCCCTCGCAGCTGGCCACGCCTCCTGCTGAAACTCCCGCCCCCGACTGACCGTCATCGGAGGAGCCGTCAGAGAAGCGGGACGCCACGCAGCTCAGCAGGCCACACACGTTAGTGCAGCACTTCTCAAAGGCAGCGCAATCCTGTAGAAACACACACAAACACGTGTTAGTTTTCCACAATCACGCATCAGGTTTCAGTTAACTATTTGGTTACACTTTATTTTGATTGTCCGCTGTAGACATTCTACTAACTATGAGTAACTTTGCAACTATATGTCAACTAACTCATTAGAGTATTAGGATTAGGCTTAGCAGAAAAAGCTGATATGAACTTGGGGGACCATCAAAATAAAGTGCTAGCAGATATTAAGCACACTGTCTATTAATACTCTCAAAAAGTCCACTTACATTATTGTCTGTGTGGTTTTTTCTTTCTTTCTACAGGTTATTTTAACGGTTTTCTCCATGGTTTTAATTTTAGCTTTAGTATAACATTATAATACCATGCATATTTTTACTTTTTTATTTAAAGAAGAAACCAAACCCATATATATTTGACATTTGAGGCTTAATGCTTTAGAAAAGCAATACATGTTTTTTTCAGGAAGAGTGTTTTCAGCTTGTTTATTTTCACATAAAAATATGGCATGCAGTTGCTTCAAACAATGGTATAAAGCTATTCAAAACATTCAGTGTGTATTGTGATAATCATATTTAATAATCACAATTTCAAAGGAATAATCACCAATTATGATTTTTGTCATAACCGTGCAGAATTACTTACAGTCAGCTGTGTGTCTAAAGAGGACCATCAAAATACCAGCTATTTGTACAAATGTATCCAACTTTAACCATATACATACTCACATAAAGTGATATTTACTATGTAGCAACTTTATAGCATGATATATAGCATCGCATCTGGTTGTAAACTATATTATCGTCCGGCTCTAATCTCTAAATGCATGAAGATGATATTATAAACATTAACATCATGATTTTCTGTAAAGCTGCTTTGAAACAATGTGTATTGTGGAAAGCACTATACAAATAAAACCAAGACTTTAGCTTTTTGCAATGCAATTAATTTTTTATATGCCAGTCATCCAAGGGTTGTGGGATAAAGAAATAGATGAATGAAATGCCTATTGAGGCCTGTATGATATTATATCTTGACTGATTTCATGGAAACACACACACACACACACACACACACACACACACACTGTTGTGAGCTACACAATGTTACTCTGTGCAGTTACCGAGCTGCAGCTGCATACAGCGGCGATGAGCGTGGAGCTGGTGTTTGTGTGGGACACTGAAGGGTTAGTTCACCCGAAAATGAAACATGTCATCTTTTGATCACAATGATAAAACAAATAAAATCATACATTTTGTTTTGAAGATGAATGAAAGTCGCATGGGTTTGCAGAAAAAGGAGTAACTGATGACATGGTTTTAATTTCTGGGTGAACTATCGCTTTGATTAAATAGAGGAGGACAGAAAGAGTCACTCGTAGCCATGATGGATCACGGTGACAGAGTGTTGTAAATTCTTCAATATAACACAAATAAACGATAGAGGTCACTGTAACACTGCAAACACTGCACTGGAGTTCTGTACTTGTAACTGGCCATGTGTACTCACTACAGGGAACGTCTGGAGAGCCAGTAAGGAATCAACCAGCATTTGGTTTAGTACAGACATGCTTTCACAGTGCTTCAAACACACAGACAGATTTAGCCCTTCTCAAATGCAACACACCCACACGTATATTATATTGGTCTGTGATCACACACATTCCTCACAACGATGCTGTGAACGGCACAAACGCACACAGACTCAGCATATGGTCTCAAACTGCAAACCTCACTTTAAAATGAGCCAAAATAGCAAGCGGCTTCCTGTCTGTGTGTGAATCTACGTGTAAAAGTGCAGCATGTTCGAGAGTTGAGACTGCAGGGTGTGAATTCAGGAGAACAGCTACAAAACCCCCGCAGCTCTCAGCTGTGAAAAAATCTAAAAAACTACTGTTCTTCAAACTCTCTGTTCATCTGTGAAGCAGACACTGTATTGCGGTTTCCACACTTCATGAAGCAGCACATCTGTGTTCAACTTGATAATAATCAGAAATGTTTCTCGAGCAGCAGATCAGCATATTATACTGATTTCTGAAGATCATGTGACACTGAAGACTGGAGGAATGATGCTGTAAATACAGCTGCACATCACAGAAATACATTACAGTTTAACAGATATTCACACAGAAAACAGCTGTTTTAAAGGATAATAATATTTCACTGTTTAACTGTATTTTTGATCAAATAAATGCAGCCTTTGTAAGCAGAAGAGACTTCTTTCACAAACATCATACATTTCATTGACTGAAATTTTTTGAACAGTATATTCATATCCCAAAATTAAAATTACTCACAAAAAAAAAAGAAAAAAAGAAATTGAACACAAATTTACTTTAACATGGCACAGGTCACAATTAGCTACTAAAAAGGAAAGTCCAAGGAAACTGCTTGTCTTTCAAAAGAACTGTAATTTGTGCTCTCTATTTCTACTACAACTATGTTGTTGCTGTTGTCTGAGGCAGTGACTGAGTGAGGGTGTGTTCACCTGGTCGGTCTGGCATTCCCTCTCACAGGTGCTCTGCGCATCCACCCACAGGTTCAGGTTCAGGTGATTGGGACAGACTCCCGGATGATCCGCAGCGACGGGCCAGAGCCGCATGAGGAGCAGAGAGCAGAGGAGTCTGAGAGGAGATCCGGAGAGCCGCATGAGTGAGATGTCCAGACGCTGGTCTGTCCTGCGCTCAACCGGCGCGGGGGTTTATGAACACAAGCAACTGCACAAACGTCGTTAAGAGATGAAAGAAGCGCGAGCCGTGTGATCCTGGACCATCTCTGTGAATGAAATCCAGCGGAAACGACGGATGTCGACATGGAGGAGCTTTTCCTCAGTAAAGCTGCTGTGGCCTTTGTCCCATGATCTGGAGAGCGATGAAGCTCCTCTCTCATGCTTTAGTATGCAAAGCCCGCTGGGAAAGCAAGTCGAGCTCAATATCTGACCACTTCTCTTTGTCCTGCGAGGAGCCCCAGGCCTTTCATTCTCCGCTGACTTCTGACCGGCTCACAGAGCAGGTCACGGCCCTCCGTGTGAGACGAATGACAGCCCGGCTTCCACACACTCCATTCATTCATTCAGCTCTGATTTATGAGGACTGGTCTTCACTAGCCTGGTTCGGTTGATTGAGTTTGTCAGAAAGCTCAGTTTCTGCATCACCACTGCTGTAGAAACACACTGAACACAAAACACGAGGCGTCTGACCTGAAGCACTGCATTTCAGTTGAATGTTTTTTCTTAAGAAACAGAAATGATAATTATATTGTTCAAACAGAACATTAAAGAGCATCAACAGAAAAGTTCACATGTAACAAACAAGAGAAAAAAGAAAACACATTCATACACAAAAGCAATAATAAATATCATTTAAAAATAGTCACTTTATACTTCTTGACCAACTTTTAATTTTTTCCGAATTTTGGCCTTGTTTCATGTTCATTCTGATACCGTAATACTTTTTTTTTTTTTTTTACTGTTTTTAAAACAGTAAAATCTCTTCATTCAGTATTAATGTTTTACTGTATCACTTAAATCTAAATAAAACTTCCAATCCATTTTATTGGTTTTTAAATAATCTGTGCTTTGTGTTGACCCTTCTTGTGTTTACAGGCACTGAACACAGCCTCCTATAACCTGTTCAACAAAAACATAACCTGGTTTTAACACGTAAATCACGATGAAAACAAGTGAGCGTCACCCAGGAGTCAGAAAGAACACACACTGACTGCTGTCGAATCTGTGTGTGTGTGTGAGTGTGTGTGTGTGTGTGTGTGTGTGTGTGTGTGTGTGAGTGAGTGAGTGAGTGTGAGTGAGTGAGTGTGATATCTTTGTTATGGAGTACACGTGTTGGTTCGCAGTGAGTTCACAGTGTTAACGTACAAGTTTGCTTTCATTTATTTTGAAGATCTGAGGTAAAATATCTATTGTTGCTTTCACTATGGCTATAAACATAACGCAAAATAATATTCAAACTCACATTAGACACTTTTAACATTGAATAAAGCACATAATCATTACCTGAGATTATCGCCGTCATATTCTGTATGTTGTTCCTGCCGCAATGTGCAGAATATAAAAACATTTCTCGAATAGAATCTCGTGTTTTATCGTCACGTGTCGCTGTGGCGGAGGTTAGGACACAAACTACACGGAAGAGATGCTTGTTATCGCGTCGTGTCTGGTTGACCCCCCTCCCTCAAAAAAAATCTAAGTATAAAAATATTCATGCTAACAGATCGAATAAATGAATCTGTAATTAGGGAAAGTGGAGAGAAGAGATCCAGCTGATTTGCATGCAGATCCAGATGTTTTTGTTTGTTCATTTGTTTTTAATATTCAACAGGCAAAGTTCAGTATCTAGTAGACTGGGATGGTTATGGACCGGAGGAATGTTCTCGGGTGGCCAGGGACGACATTCTGGACCCTTTGCTACTGGAGGACTTCCATCGCACCCATCCTGGTCGCCCCGCACCCAGAAGCCGTGGCCGCCCCCGTCGCCGCATGAGGGCGTCAGGAGCCGCCACTGGAGGGGGGGGGGGGGGGGGGGGGGGGATCTGAATAGTCATCTTGTGACCATTTTAACAAAAGCAACTGTGGCAGTAAATGGTCAGGTGCTTAAGTTACCAATAATTAGAAATCCTATAGACGACTAACCCACCCGGAATACACCGGGACATAACAGCCCTAAGCAAAGGGACACAGGTTCGTTGCCAAAGGCAGGGTGAGCAGAATAATAATAAACAAGTCACTTTATTAACATACAGTTAATAAAAACCACATACAACACTTCACACCAGGTCTCAATACATCACACGGCTTTACCAATAACTTATAAAACAAGTACAATACAAGAGAAAATTAAGAGGGAGGTGGCCAGCAAAGACCCTCAGATTTCTACCCCACACTCAATACCCATGACACACAGCTCTCTCTCACACACACAGCTCACAAAAAAAAAATCTCAGTAATATTAAACACAGCACTCCATGTGGACACGCAGTACAAGGTACCATGGCCAACCCCTTCCACCTAAATCCACACCAAACAATACAAAACATAATTAACAGACGGACCCAGATGAAGTCCAGACAGAGCGGAGCAGAACTGCAGTCAGTTACTTGAGGTTCGTTATGCGTCAATTAAGATCATTAGAAACCCCTGGACGTGCAATCAATCCTGCTGGACATTAAACAAAAGTTACACATAAAAACTTGTTTAAAACAAACTTTAAACTAGCCATACCTACCAAGAAAACAGTACAATGCTGCAATACACATGGTCGCTCACCACGCAGGATTACAGCTACTGGCAGGCCCAGATCTGAAAACAAACAAGGTAATAAGCCTCTATTTAACAGGCAAAAAGGCATTTTTAAAATGGGGACAAACCTGAAAACTGTCCAGCAGCCCGCACACGACAGACAGGAGGATAACCCAACTGCTGGCACTCA